GTTGTCTTCTGAAATAGTTTCCTATTCATCCCAGCTCAGTTACAAGTATGGTATTGATACTGGACCCACACTTTCTTGATCATTACTCTGATCAAATGTCCTAACCTGACTATTGCAGGCAGCCAAGAAATCTCAAGTGTCTTTGTCATGGCCCAGAAGGATTACAGGCTACATTTCACTTCCCTCAATGTCGTCTGACAGTCTTGGCATTGGCAGAACAGAAGCTACATTCGCATGTTACCGGTGGTTATAATCACAGTTTTAAATGTGCGGCACCAGTGCCCACTGGTGTCTCAGCAGAGGGTATTTGGCAGGAAAATGGTCCCTGACTGTGCCCCTAGGTAGCCTATCTACACCTGTCATTACCTGGCACCTGAAAGCAAGTGAAATAATCTTCTCAATTTGTATTTGGGCAAAACGCCATCATGACAGATGGACAGGACTGTACATAACTGGGAAATTATGCATATACATTAAATATGTGGACTGTGAGCATACGTCCTTTCTAGGAACATCCAAACATCTGTCTGCTCTGAGCTTTTGTGTATGCTGTTTATACCATATGCCGTCACAGTGGGAGGGCCCTGTCAGAAGCAAAATAGTGGTGCTCATGAATTTCATGGAAATCGTTTCATGGGGTGAATTTATCTCACCACAGGCAAAATCAACTTATAAAATATATTGTGAATATCTTTGTTATTATTTCAAGTTGTAAGATTTAGAAAGTGATTTTGGTAACCAAAAAAGCAAAGATTTTGGACATTATAGAAAATTTGGATCTGTTCCTATTACAGCACTCCTAAACTACTTGTGGTTGCCCATATTCTGTCTCACACACCCTACCACACATGCAGTCATTTCTGCATTGTTGCCACACTTCCTCTGTGCCAATCAAATTGTTCTAATTTCTGACTCAAATTGTGGTTTATTTTTACCCACTTCTTTGAGTCTTTCCTATATTCTAATTAAGTGAAATGTTGGAAAAATATTGGGAAATTTGCCAAAAACACTGACCATTTCCTTTTTTAGCAATCATTAATATTCAAGCAATCTATAACCATTTTTAAGTAGGAGAGCAGCAAATAGACCAATGTCATCATAGTACAAGGGATGTTGAATGCAAAAAAATATTGAATTCACTAGCATTATCATAAATGAGTTTATCAAAGCTCTCAACTTTGTAAACTTAGGAATTTGATGTTGTAAGTACCCTATGTTAATTTGGGTCTTCTAAGAAGCAGATGACAAATGGGATTGGACACATCAGAATTATATTAGGGAAGATGCTCTCATTAAAAAAAAAAAAATGTTTTTTTTTTAAAAGCCAAGGGAGGCTGGAGAGCCCTGCTGCCACAATGTTCTGACCCTAAGGATAGAGAGTTGGGAAACTTCTAGTACATTTCTTGGTGCAATGAAATTAAAAGATAGTTCAGCATTGCTGAAACTCAGGGATCTCTGGGGCATGGAGGAGTCTTGAGTTTCTAAGAATGGACCCATCTTTGCATCCAAACACATTTTGTCATCAGCTGAGGGAAGTCATGTTTGGGAACAGGATTGCAGAATGTAGCACCTAGACTTCTTGGACAATTACACATGAAGTTACTGGTCTTTGTTCTCTTGTCCACCACTAATCTGTCACGAATCAACTCTTAAAATAAAGTGTTTCTATCTAAACTCATATAAAAGTCTAATTATATAGACAATAGTGATTTTGCTTACATTAAGACTTAATCTTCAGTATCAAGTATTCATATTCATATCCTAGTCAGAAATCTAGGAACTGAATTCTAGTGCAGTTGGATTGGTGAGTATAGACTCTGAACAACAGGACTTATGAGCAACTCAGACTATTATGATACAAGGTCATGGCCTTCAGATATACTGACTTACAAGTAAGGCTATCTACTCCAAGAAACATGCAGATAACATTGAGGTCCAAATCCTCCCCTCTGACAGGGCCAGAAGCTGACTGCTTTGAGAATGCCTTTTTTGTATGTCTCTCAAGCACCATACCCTCTAGTCCTCTCTGTATTTGGTAGTTTTTGCTGAAAGCACCACAATACTTAATGGTTTAGAGCATTATTTGTTATCTGTTTCTCCTGGTTCTTGGGTTTGCTAGGTGATTATTTGTCTCCTCCAGCTTGACTGGGACTAGATGGTCTAGAATGTCCTCACTCATGTTCCAGGACTCAGATTAAAATGCAGGGAGAGCAAGGATGACTGTGCACTCTCTTCACAGGGTCTCTTAGCTGCAGAAATACAGCCTAGACTTCTTCACCTGGTGGCCTAAAGATTTCCAGTGATTTTTCTAGCAATGAGTACTTTTACAGTCCCTGCTTTATTAGCGAGAACAAATCATATGACCAATCCCAGAGTCAATGTGGTGGTGAGAACTCTCTAGGGGAATGGCTGCAGGAATCCCTGAACAAGTTGGGAATTAATCTATCACTGTCCAATTACTATGTTGCTCTTCCTTCTCCTTGTCCTCTACTTCTTTCTCCTTTTCCTTGTCCCCATTTTCCTCTTGCTTTTTATTTTCTTCCTTCTTCATCTAATTTATGATTATATAATGAAAGAGACCACATCTATATTCTGATATCTTCAGAATTTTAACGTAAAAATATTTATGCTCTAAAGTACACAGTTACATATACTGAATTCAGATGTAATTTGTTCGTGTGTATCTCAGCCCTCAGTATGGTCAACAATGTCAATCTCTCTCTTTTTACATTTCATAAGGACCCTGAATGGATATGGGTTTTCCTCAGAAAGGAAGCTACAAATGTCTCCTTTAACATCAATAATATTACATGTGAAAATTATTGGATTGGGTTTCATTTTGATGGTGACTGGTCAGTTCACTCCGGAGTAGCAATTCATTGCATTCCTGATCCTAATAAAATAATACATGTTTATTCTTCACTTTAGTTGATGCTTGAATGTGAAAATTAGGAGGTTGAAATTGAACAATATTTGACCTGTTAGAATCTGTAATTTTCTACTGTATGGCTCTTCTGTCAGCTGTGTTGAGGCTGTTACAGCTATAATCAGGTTCTGTAGAGGATAACTGAGGGACATGTTAAAAATAAGAATATAAATGCTTTGGAGTGATTATCACTTTTGCTTGTAGTCAAGGCAGTTTCTGGAGCATGAGGTAAAGCTGTGCATTAGAGGGGTTTTTTTGCAAGCTAAGTGCATCCTTGCAAGTTTCTACACAGAGCTGTGTGGTTGGCTTGCCTAGTCTTAACTTTATATAAAACATACACACATTATATGCAGAGCTAAATAGGTATTGTTTACTGCAGATAATACATGTGAATTTTTGTCCCACAAAGTAGGCTCATCCTCTGAAGATAACTTCTATTTTCATCTCCTAGATCCTTCTCTGTCAGTACAAAATTCACTAGATTGAATTCACTAAAACATATGTGTAGAGAAAAATAATAGATCAGATTGGCCATTTGGCACAAATAACCCATTATTCAATTTTGTGTTGTTTAACCAGGTGTGTGTGTGTGTGTGTGTGTGTGTAGAAATAGATAAGACTGGTACTTTATGGTAGCATTCATTTGTAATGACTCAGGTCCACTCTTTTATTTATTTATTTATTATTTTTAGTTAAGAATGATAGTAGAGTATAATTTGACACATTTATACAAATATGGAGTACATCTTAATCTAATAAGGATCCCAGTCTTGTGGTTGTACACGATGTAGAAATTCACTGTGGTGTATTTAAATATGTACATATGAAAATTAAGTCAGAATCATTTCATTGCCTCTCCTATTTTCTTCCCCCTCCCCATTCCCTTCACTGTACTTTATCTAATCTACTGAACTCCCCTCTCCTTATTGTGTATTAGCATTCGTATATCAGAGAGAACATTTGTAATTTGACCTTTGTGGTTTTGGGGGGATTGACTTATTTCACTTAGCATAATAGTCTGCAGATCCATTCATTTTCCGTCAAATGTCATAAAGTGAGTCTTTTTATGACTTAGTAATATTCTATTGTATTTATATACCACATTTTCTTTATCTGTTCATCTGCTGAAGAGCACCTAGGTTGAGTCCATAGCTTAGCTATTGTGAATTGAACAGCTATTAACACTGATGTGGCTGCATCACTGTAGTAGGCTGTTTTTAAGTCCTTGGGTATATACCAAGGAATCAGATAACTGGGTCAAATGGTGGTTCTATTCCAAGTTTTCTGAGGAATCTCCAAACTGGTGCACTCTTGAATGAAATGACTGACACATTTCTGCACGGACACATTTCTGAACTGATGAGGGAGAAAGACAGTCCCTTTGACTTTGACTTAATCTTTAGCTGTAACTCTGAGATTTGCCTTCTACTATGGTTCTCACTGTACATTAGCCCAATGCTAAACAACACAGGAAATTCCTTGTTTTTAAATGTTGCTTATCAGGTTGTTGGGTGGGACTTCACCACATTAGCTTCCCACTTGTGAGAAGATAGATCATATAATTTCATATTTGTATGATGCACACACATACATGCACACACACACATACATACATACACACACACACACACACACACACAGTGCATCTATACTAGGCCTTAGGATTGACCCCTTCTGGTTTACCTATCAGGAGCTATTTGAATGTCAGGCAGTCATTCATAATCTACACACAGTTGTTCAAATGAAATTTTGGCATTCCTCATGTTGACAATCATAACCAAAATACATTTGCAGTTCGTGTTCTGTGTTATTACCTTCCCTTTTCCAGCCCTCACCTGAAGTGATATCTATGTCCTACAGAGTACTTTCTTGATAAAAGAAGCAACTTCAGTTTCTTCATATAATAATAGGAATTTAAAATATGTACCTTTTTTATATCACCTTAGATATTTTATATAAGACTCTAGAAAACAAATGTGAATTTTTTTCTTCTTCTTGTGTTTGTTTGTTTGTTTGTTTGTTAACTTTAAAATCCCCATGTCCCATAACTCATCAAGTATATTTTTTCTTCTAGGACTACAATGATGAAATTCGTCAGGAACAGTTACGTGAATTATCTTATTTAAATGGCTCAGAAGACTCTGGTCGTGGCAGAGGTATTAGAGGCAGAGGGATTCGAATAGCTCCCACAGCTCCTTCAAGGTACATTAGTTCTTACTTTATATAAATTAATAACAAAGGAAGAAGGCAGTCTTATTTTTGCCATGCTTGGCCATGTTCATAGGAAGGAATAAATAAGAGCATCAGGAATATTCTCTTCACCACAATAGAAACAATAAATGAATATATAACATGTAAGAGTGTATCATATATTCACTACACCCTTTGTATTAAGAGATAACTGCTAGCCCAGGTAAGAAATTGAGGTTCAAAAAATTGCATGAAATCTTACCTAATTCATACAGGCAGTCAGACTCCATTTTTTTTTCCTTTTTCAACTACCTTTAGAAAATAAGGCAGTGATACTGAGAGTTTCCACTTTCCTTTTCTATCTCCAGAACTAGGGCACACAGATGATGCAAGCATCTTCTCTTGAAACCAGAATAACTTGCATGAAGGGAAAACTATATGTTTTATCTGTGTTTAAATGGTCCTTGAATTGATATAATCTTATCAGAGAGAGAGAGACAGAAAAAGATACAGATAACACATATTCATCAGCCAAGAAAGCCAGAAGCCTACTTCTTGAACAATTGATAGTAAGGACCAGGAATTGTATCAGAGCAAATTATATCATGTGCTTTTATGCAAGTGTCACAATGAGCCCCACTACTGCGTATACTTAAAATGCACTAATAAAAACATAAAAAGAAAAGAAATACACATGAAAAAGTTGTGCAAAGTTCAGATAGATTTGACTTCTCAAGATCTTGGAGATCTTAGAGTCTTACTTGATTTTCTTTCCTTTACAAACAAATTGGAATTTTTCTGTATTATAAATTGTTTTGTAGGGTTCTGTGTTTGTCATGTTTTCAACAGAAGGCATTGGTTTACAAAGGGGTAAAACAAAAACAAAAAACACAAAAAAACCCTCTTTGTCTTCACATATAGAGTGATTCAGTTGTTCTTTTCACCCTATTGAAAGTGGGATTTAAATCTCTAAAGGACACAGATCTAGAATACAATACACATGAGATAACAATATAATTTGGCCAATATCATGCCTAAGTATTTCCCCTTTTCCTCCCCACCTCCCACCCCTAGGTTCCTTTCCTTTACTATATTTGTCTCCCTTTGATTTTCATGAGATCCTCTCACCAACCTTTCTCTTCCTTTTCATTTCTAGTTTCCATATATGAGAGACAACAAATGACACTTGACTTTCTAAGTTTGGTTTATGTCATTTAATATAATGTTCTCGAGTTCTGTCCATTTTCCTGCAAATGGCAATTTCATTCTTCTTTATGACTGAATAAAACTATATATATCACTATACATATCATTGTATATTGGCTATTCTTCTGTTATGAATATTGAGGTGGTTGTATCATTGTAGTATGTTCATTTTAAATATTCTGGATATATACCAAGGAGTGGAATAACTGGGTCATATAGTGGTTCTATCCCTAGTATTTTGAGGATTGTCTGAAATATTTTAAAACTTCAGAAACAATTTGCTGAAGGTATATTTAATTAAAGGAATTTATATTCAATAAATATATCTATGATAACTAATCTTCCTATAATAATGCATACAAAATATAAAACATTACATATTTATATTATCATGATAGCTTATTTTATATAAATGAAGGATGAAAATGTTTACATGTATCAGTAGAACATGTTGCATTGAGACCAAGCAGTAGAAAATGAGATTCAGAAGGCTTTGTTTACTACAGTGAAAACTAAAATATTGTGTGTGGTTGGGTGTGGAACTGGGGGTTCAACCAAGTGGTACTCTGCCACTCAGCTACATCGACAGCCTTTGTTTACATTGTATTTTGAGATAGGGTCTCACCAAGTTATGCAGGCTGGCCTAGAACTTGCAATCCTCCTGCATTGGCCTCCTGGGTAACCTAATGGAGTCTTTAAAAAGAAAGAATAATTATACTTAGAAGAGACTACTAAGTCATCACTAAAGATAATCAACATTGGAGCGATTGGAAGAGAGAGAAACAGAGTGACAGACACAAAGAGAATGTAGACTCATGGCAGGAAAGCCAATGAACACAAGTCCATTTTCCAAGACAGAAAGAAATGAACAGCACTTGGAATATAGTGAGATAGAGCCAGAACAGAGATTCAGATTTATAGGAACCAATGCCAATTAGATGTTAGAGAAGGAGGGTGGTTGGTCCAAGACAAAAATAATTCTCTGGTATCTGACCTGGTAAGAGGTATATGCTATTATCAACTGAGATTAGGTGAAAAGTCAAGTTAAAAGAAGAATATAATTATTCCTGTAATTAATCCAAGACATATGGATGACTAGTGTGACTTGGACAAGTGATTCATCTTCTTTTTAACTTGCTTTCTCAATTTTTAAAATAGCTATGAACTGCTTACATAACAAGTTTGTCAAGATATTTAAATTAGGTGATGCATATTAGGGCAGTGTTTCCCAAAATATCCTGTACATTGGAAGTATTGGCAGCTTCTTGCCTCCAGAGACTATGATTTACCTGGCCATGGGTAATTTGGAATTTTTTAAAGACCTTCAAGTGACCCTAATATGCATAGAAGTTATAGAAATTCTGATATCAGGAACGTAAGGTAGGACACACTTTTATGATAAGGAGAAAATAACCATGGCTAGAATTATGGACTGCAGGGTTTAACCATAGGAGAAGAAAGAAGAATGAACACAGAAATTGGGAACACCCATATTCCAGTGAGGGCCCCTGAATAGAAATTTGTGAGGAGGCTAAGGAGTAGTAAAGCAAAAGGAAGAGGAGTTCCTAATCCGCTTGAATCAAATGTATGAAATATGATATATCAAGAGCTTTGTAATGTTTTGAACAACCAATAATTTAAAAAAAAGATCATGCCATGAGCAGAGATTTAAAACAAAACAAAAAAAAAACTCAAATAAACATTTTCCAAGTCATGGTTCACAATCTCAAAACATAATAAGAGGCACAGTGTCATGGTAACCAGGGAAAAGCCCAGTGGAGCTGGAAATCAGTGGGTTGAGGTCTTGGCATCTTAGCCAACAGTGTTTTCACAGCATGGGGAAAGCACACACTAGATGGATTGCATTCAGCTCAGGCATGAGCAGAAAGTAGAGAATTAAACATGGAAAGTTTTCTTTGAAGAAGTCAGCAAAATAAAGGAAAGAATACTGTGGTGTCAGTTTGGCTCAGGGCCTTATCCTAAAATAGGCGATTGATTCTTGAGTTGAATAGGAGGGAGCAAGGAGACTTAACATTCCAGGGAAAGCCATTCTGTAGAGGAGGGAACAGGAAGCTAGGATAACAGTTAGAAAGCCAGGACATACATTCATCTTGCTTATGAAGAAACAGGTGCTTGGAGGCCCAGTGAAGGTAAACTTGATATCTATATCTTTCTTTATAGAAGTGTTTTTATATTATGATGACAATATAGAATGTTGTATCCTCCACTGTTTTCATATTTGAAATCAGCACTGGGCCTCTGGGTCTTTTGTATTTCACCTTCCTCCCAATCTAAGAGAGTATTCTATATGCATTAGTTCACAATAAGCTCTCTGATAGGTTGTCTATTCATCAGCTCTATAATCTATGTAAAAATTTTAAAAGCTTTTCCAGCATTCTTACTCTTCACTTCTAAAAGCTCATTTTCTGTAAGCAAGAAAGAGCCAGCCGACTGCTATTCATAGCAGAAAGCATAACCTGCGTCTCCATATGGAGGTGAAGCCAGACGGTGTGATTGTTGACGTCCCAATGATCATCATTTTTCCCAAAGCTTTAGTGCTTCTGCTGAAAGCAGTGCTTTCGGAAGGCCAGTCTTTCAGACATAATAAAAAGTGAAATAACCGTACATTTGCCCAAAGATTTCAGACAAACACTCAACCTTTCTGAAGGCCTCAGAATACTGAAGGACTTGGCTGCAACCATTTGATCTTACACTTTTAGTGCAGGTTACTTTTGTGTCAAGAACTGCAGTACAGAGTATTCAATCTACTCTCTTTGTTGCAGAATACTAATGTATTTCACTAGCACCATGGTTACTATATGAAATTATATGATGTCAGTGATTGCACCAACTCAGGGGTGACATGCCTGGTGATAAGTCAGTGACAGCGAGTCATGATTTCAAGTGACCTCAAATTTAAGCTACTACAGTCAGCAGGATGATATCACTATGCCTCAAGTTCCACAATTTATTAAAGTGCAGACAGATCATATATTTGCAAATGACAACATTGCATACCACTATCAATAACCCCGCATGGAGGAGACAGAGATATACAGCAGCTCAGTTTTATAGATGGTCCAGGGAGCCATCCATTAGGTAGTGCTCTGATCTGGGTGTTCTAGTGAAATAAACCAATCCCCCCAAACCAGAAGGTGAATGTTCTGCTATGTGGATGCCAACACACAACAAGGGCCAGGGGAGGATAGAAGTTCAAAGGATTAGACAAAGAGGAATGAAGGAAAGGGAAAGGAAAAGGAATAGGAAAGACAATGGAATGAATCAGATATAACTTTCTTATGTTCTTATGTGAATACACCATAGTGAATCTCCACATCATGTATATCCACAAGACAGGGATCCTAATTAGAAAAAGATACGCTTCATGTCTGTATAATCATATCAAAATAGATTCTACTGTCATGTATAATTAAAAAGAACAAATAAAAGAGACAAAATAAATAAATAAATAAATAAATATATTAACACAGGAAAAAAAAGGAATATAAACACAATGGGCTTTTGTTTTCTGTTTTTCCTTTTGGCTTTGTTTTTTTAGTAGACTGTATCAAAGTATTTTGTGTGGTTTCCATGAGAACTAAGTCTTAGTATTCACAGGATATGTTTTACTCTGGAGGCCAAGACACATCTCTGTTAAATGCATGCGTGTGCACACACACACACACACACAGGCAAAGGCACATACCCAAAAAGAAAGATAAATTTTGGATGCTTACATCCTGTGGAGGCCCTGAGATGAATACTGGTGTCTGTTGTTGTCCTTCTCTCCCTTCACCTTTCCTTATCTGCATTTTACCTGTGTTTCCTAGGGGCCGTGGGGGTGCCATTCCTCCTCCCCCACCACCTGGACGAGGTGTTCTCACACCTCGTGGGACCACTGTGACTCGTGGAGCTCTTCCCGTGCCACCGGTAGCAAGAGGCGTCCCCACCCCTAGAGCCAGGGGGGCACCAACAGTGCCAGGATACAGAGCACCCCCTCCTCCAGCCCATGAAGCTTATGAAGAATATGTAAGTACCCCTAAGAAACGGGTAGTGAAGAGGAGTTCATTTGTTTGGTTAACTAGCTAAGCCTCCCAAACAGGCATATGCTATGAACACAAGAGGTCATGTCATTTGCAAAAGAATTTAAGCAGTGCATTTCAATGAAAGCGTTTTGTGGAGAAGCTTTCATTTTACAGGCATGATCATTGTAGTTAGTGACAGTTCACCAGCTTGAATTTTAAGAATCAAACTATCCTGAGGTTTTCTTACCTTTAGAAGGTTTGGTCAGATTTCAAATGGAAAATAATTATAAATATAATATGAATCATTATATATTCAGAGAATTCTCCTGGGTCATGATAAATATTAGCATAAATTTCAGAAATACTTGACAAATGTAACGTGATTATGTTATAAACTTTGTTAATAATGTAAGACCATGTGGCTGGGCTTTCATTATTTCAAAGATATGGAATGGGCATACAAATCAAAAAAATATAGAATGGACAGAGGAAACACAGTGAGTTTCCCCTACATCTCATCCATGGTATCTCTAGGTCACATTTTGTGTCTGAACACCCTTTAATATTTAGTTCAGGTCATCAGTAATCTTCTTGTCACATTGGTATTATACTTTCTGTGCCCATTTCTCCTGCTAGACTGTGGCACTTGTAAAAGGGAGTTTCCTATCTACTTTCTAAGCTTGTGTAGTCCCAGGAAGTCCACGATAAATCTTAAACTGAGTTGATGCAAACAGATCACCATTTTAAAAAGAAGCTTCTTCTGCCTCTAAAGTCTCCAGTATACCTGTCATCTGATATGAGTTTCAGGAAACCACCCACTACCATGCTGACCTCATAAATGTCTTCCTTGAAGTATTATTCATTAACTATAAACTCTTCAAGGACAGTTACTTTCATGTGATGAGCACTCAAAACATACATATTTCATGGACTGGCTAATAACCAGTCAAAGCTTAATCAGAAAATAAAGTGAATATGGTTGATCAGTGTCACCAAGAATACACTATGTTTAGCATTTGTTAGTTTTTAAGAATGATGCTATTGCTTGAATATAAAACATTAATTGATATATACAAGAGTGAAGCAAAATTAATGATAAAATTCCATTGCTACTGTAACTGGTGAAATGTGTTTATCTATAATATCTTTTGTAATCATGCATCAATATTTAAAATCTTTGACAATCTTAAATTTGCAAAATCAGAAGCTGAAAATTTATTCTACCCTATAAGTAAGCCCACGAGTCTGAAAACGTAAGAATCAGTCTTTGTTCTTCTACCTCTTACCTGAGACATAGTATTTTGCAAATACTATGTACTTGTCAAATGAATGCATTAAGTCCCCACAGGTTTGGTGATGTCTCTTTTCATCTCTGGGGAACAATTTAGCTCTACAGTTTTTGAGTATATTGCCACTAAGGTGTTTTTATCCTCCAATTATTGGTTTAAACAGACCTTTTATTAAAATTAAAAATGAGAAAAAAATTTTTCAGTTAACAGCAGTCAATATTGTTATTAATCAAAGGGTTTATATGGCATATATAGCCCTTCAAAAGAGCAAAACTGGTGAAACAGAATTGTAGTCCATAATCCAACTGATAATGAATGAATCACTGGAATATGAGGCATATAAGAGGGAACTATAAAGGCACACGTATATTCTGAAAACATGGGTAAAGAAGGTTATATTCTGAATGGGGAAATTCAGAAGGTCTCTGAGTCCTCTATGAAGCAGTGTCTAGGCTGAGGGACTTCCTCTGTAAGCAGTCTCCCTGTCAGAAGAAAAGAGCAATTGTAAAGGTCCTGATATTGAACTTGCTTGAAATTTGGGGTCAGCAAGATGGAGGTTAGAGCTGGAGTGGAATGTGTCAGAAGAGAAGGTAAATAAGGTCCAAGGGGGGCTAAGTTGGGGTTTTGAGCAGGACAGTCACATGACCAGATTCACATGTTAAAAGGTTTGTTCTGCCTATAACAATGGAATCTGAGGATGCTGAGGATGGGGATGGGTACAGGTGTGGAAACAGGGCATTGTAATTATTTGTGGTATCACCCACTGGCAGAACAATGGCTTGGAGGGCAGGAGAAGAGATCTGATTCTAAGCATCCTGTGAAAACGGTATGTTAGGATTTGGTGGTAGACTAGAGGCAGGATGTACAGAAGAAAGCACAGTGAAGGATCAATTGTTTTACGATGGTTTCATGGTGATAAGGTGTTTGAAATGAACACCTGGGTTAAACTGAGGGATTATTTATTAGAATGAAAAGTACCACACGGGGAGTTGGAAGTTTGGTTTGAGATCCTGTTAAATGAAGAAACTTTCCCTGCAGAAAAGTCTGCAGTGTTGCTGTATGGACAGGATGTGCACTTCTGAAGTGGAAAGTAGTATCCCAGGATTTTGATTCATTATTGTGTCATTTTATAAACACACTGAGGCTTAGGTATCTCCTTTTTCATTTTTTTATAAACATGACAGTAAGGCATATTTGACATATTCTACATTCATGGAGTACAGCCCATTCCAATTTGGATCCCATTCTTGTGGATGTTCATGATGTGGAGTTTCACTGGTCCTGTATTCTATATGAACATAGGAAAGTTATGTCAGGTTCATTCTACTGTCTTTTATATTCCCATCCCCCCTCCCTTTCCTTTATTTCCCTTTGTCTAATCCAATAAGCTTATATATTTCTCCTCCCAACCTTCCCTGTTATAGGTTAGCATCCACATATCAGAGGAAACATTTGGCCTTTGCTTTTTAGGGACTGGCTTACTTCACTTAGCATGATAGTCTCCAGTTCCAAACATTTACTGGCAAATGCCATAATTTCATTCTTCTTTATGTTTGAGTAATTCCAGTGTGTGTGTGTGTGTGTGTGTGTGTACACACCACACTTTCTTTATCCATTCATTTGTTGAAGGGCACCTAGATTGGTTCCATAGTTGAGTTATAAACATTGATGTGTCTGTGTCACTGTACTATGCTGATTTTAAGTCCTTTGGGTATAAGCCAAGGAAAGGGATAACTAGGTCAAATGGTGGTTCTATTCCAAGTTTTCTGAGGAATCTCCATACTGTTTTTCAGAGTGGTTGCTCCAATTTGTAGTCCCACCAGCAATATGTGCTTGAACCTTTTATCCCACATCTTTGCCAACATTTATTGTTACTTGCATTCTTAATAATTGCTATTCTGACTGGAGTGAGATAAAGTCTCAGTGTATTTTTAATTTGCATTTCTCTAATTGCCAGAGATGTTGAATATGTTTTTCATATATTTTTGACCATTTGTGTTTCTTATCTATTTTATATAATGAGGATAATCATTTCAACTTCTCAAGACTGTATTGATGATTAGAAATAAATATTCATAAACACTTATAAGTATGCATAGGTATCTAGAATATTATAGGCATTCAATAAAAGTTAACATATAAAATTCCATGATATATTAATTCTTTAATATCGGAAGCTGTAGATCTAATAAAATCATAGGTATTTTCCTACTTTTGTGAATTAATTTGGCATTATTGATTGCAAACAGCAGAATCGCTTGGAACCTCTTTTAGTGAAATATAATTTTTTAAAAAATCAGAGCTGCTGAAGTTATGTGAATGTAAGTTAATGAGATCCAGTAATAGCAATGCCATCAGACCTCAAGAATGGTCTAGGCCAAGGAACTAGAAAACTACCAGGAATCTTTCTCCCTTCTTATCTCTGTTTTCTCAGATTATCTGGTCTTTCCATTTGTATCTGCAGATTTTATTTTGTGGCTTTTCTAATCAGTGTATCTCAACAAATATGGCCATCCTAGGGTAGCCATATTTACATATCCAACTTTAATAACCAACAGATACTGACTAGCTGGCAATCTCAATCCTAATCCAGATGCTCAAGTGGGAGAATTGTGATTAGCCAAACTTGTCAGGTGTATTAGCTAATCACTTCTGAGTACAGTAAGTCATTGAAAATTAGATCTAGAATCTACCACTCATCAGTCATCAAAGGCAAGGGAAAGGCAGGGGTAAAGTTTGTACAATATAAAAATGGTTGTTAAGCCACAACTTCATGGATAATGTAAGGAGACACTAGTTTATATAGAGGAGAAAATATGATGAGTTTGGTAGACATCCCCAAATTTCTCTACAATAGCACATCATTGATAACAGGAAAAAGTGTACAATGTTTTCTAAGAACCTTTATATTTTATTAAAACCTGACACCTGTCGTGTTTTAATTGTTTTCCTAAAAAAACATTCAATGAGTGCACATGAAGTTTAATACATGGCTGATAAGCTGCTGGCATCAATCTTTGAAGTAGTCTGTACTAAACCCAGATTACACTCAAGAGCTGCTACTCTCTGCTCTAATTTTAGACTATTGATTCCTCTGTAAGGGGTAAGAAAAACAAAAGTTTAAGTGTCTCAATAACAAAATAATAGCACCATGCTGAGCTGATGGTGAAAAATCTCAAAGGAGTTCTTAACTCTCAGATAAAATTTCTTAGAAAAGGTTCCCTTTATTATAAATCACACTATGAGTCAATTCACTCTTCAGACTTCTTTCTTTCCTGCTGAGTCTCAGCATTAAGTTTCTGACCACATAGAATGTATATAGGTAATCAAATGCACTCCTTGCAGCTGGCCTCATGAGAAACAGCTTACAGTAATTGAGATTGCTGTTTTAAAACCATCATTAGTGTTAGCAGAGTCTAAAAAAATGTGAATTTTAGTTTAAGTGTTAACATATCCTAACCCAGATTTTAAATATTTTAAAACTTCTTTTCATTGACCTTCTGCTAAGAAGAATACATTTGCATTTTATGGATCCATCATCATAATTGAAGTATATTTGAAGCATTGAAAAGCAAATTTCAACAAAAATTCCCATTGAGCAAAATATTAAGTTTATCAGACCTACCAGTGGATATTTAAAAGAGTAAATTAAAACTAAAAATATTAAATAAAAAGTAGTTTCCTATCACTGTGTATTAATTCACTTAATCTCTTA